CCTCGAACTCCAGTATCAGACTGGACTAGAAGCTCTAAATAAGAACTTGCCTGAAATTCACATTGACCTAATTTTCAAGTCAGTGGACACACTCATTTGTGTTACTTTTAGTATCACTCTGCTCTTTACTGTAATGGTTTGTGTGGGTTATCAATTTTCTTTTTTTTTATCCTGGCACTCATTTTCTTTAATTTTATCTCACTGACAGTTGTGTTTTGCTTTCCCCTGCCTCTTGTTTCACTCAGTTCTTCATTTCATCATTTCTTTTGACTCTTTGTCATTCTTTCTTATAATTTGTGTTAACTTAATGGTAAAATATGACTTTGTAAATGAATCTATTCTTTTCAATAGGCAGGGCCGTTTACAGTTTCGTCCACCCTTTGAGGAGGTGCGGGCACGATATTTCCGGGAGATGAAGCGTTTTATCTCAATCCCAAACCAGTTCAAAGGAGTCAGCGTCCAGGGGGAGGAGATGATCTTCACCATCATGATTGACAGAAATGCATCTGGCTTCCTTACCATTTTCAGCAAAGCTGAGGACCTCTTTAGTCGCCTGCAGGCCATCCAAGACATTTTCAAGGTGCTTCAGCAGTAGATATTAAAATGTTTTACTTTTAAATATTCTGTCATAAAAAAGTGCTAAGTGTGGCAAAATGAATTAAGATAAATGTTAACTATTTGACTCTTCTGTCACCTTTTGCTCAGTGAGTCATTGTTATGAGTCATATTTGATTTGTTTTCTTTGAAAGGATGAAACTTTGATCAGTCATGCTTCTCTATTCAATGCACCCAAAGCTCATTTGTTTTTGTTTCTGCCTACAGTGTTTTCCCTTTTTAGTCCCCCGATAGGACAGTGAGACAATCTGAATTACTGTATAATTATCTAATCACTTTTGCCTGAAGTCATGTATATCTAAAACATAGGGGGAAGCCCTCAGCTAACTTCATACTTCCCTATTGTCCCCCTTTAGTTCTGCTTTATGTCATCATCTATGTCTTGTTACATTGTAGTTTCTGTCACCTTTAGCACAGTCACATTTAAAAACAGGAAATATGCTCTGCAGTCATCCAACTGTCTGTGTGTGTAGGAGTGGGTGGTTCTGGGCCAGGTGGATTTGGAGAAGTTGGTGGAGAAGCATCTCAGTTCTGTGCAGGACTGGGAGAGAAATTTCAAAGCTCTGAAATCCAGGGGGAAAGAGTCAGAACGCCTGCCCAGGTACATATCACAATTGAGAAAAAGGATCAAATTCAAACTTATTTCCAGTAGAAAAGTAAACAGAACAGAAAAATGTGTTTGGTAAAGTTCTCAGCTAATACTAAAAATACAAGAAATGTACACCCAGAGTTTCACACAGCTTTCTTTTGTTCTGTCAGTCAGGAGAAGGTGGACTGTATTATAGTCAACTGTGAGCCAGTAAAAGCCACTATCGATGATCTGATCCAGAGGCTGTTTGACTTGCTCCTCTCATCACTCAGAAAGTCTATACAAGGTAGACGCAGACGCATGAGCTTTCTTAGTCTCAGTTTATTTTCATTGACACAATGAACAAACACTTATAGAACTTTCACTTTACCAGACAAATGTATTTTCCCAGTGTCATTTCTTTGTTTGGTATTTTGTATTTTCCTTTGATTTAGCGTTCTTTTGCCTCCAATCTCATTTTCTCTTTCTTTTTCTATTTTCCTTTTCATTCTGCATTACCACTTCCTCCACTGCTTTAAGGCCACACACAGGCCATAAATAGTTTTGTGTCAGAATCAATGGAGGCCTTGTCCACACAACCAGAAAGCATGGAGGAGATTGGTGCGGCTAATGGCAAATATAAACAAATACTCACCCACAAGCCAGAAGTAAGTATTCACTCTCAAACCTTTTTTAGGAACTTCTACTAAATACAACATTGATATGCTTGGTTTAAGCAGAGACAGTTATCTTGTTATTCAGCTTTTTATCACTATAACAGTTGAGAAAAAAACAATTACAGTAATCTGTTGCCACTATTGATTCATATAATTTGGCTGCTAGTCAAAGTTTATATATATATATATATATGTATATATACACTGTATGTGTGTGTGTGCGTGTGTGTGTGTGTGTGCGCGTGTGTTTGAGACATTTGATATGGAATTGGAAAAAACATTTTTTTTTATATATGTGTATAGATCTTGCCTCAGTTCCAGTTTGCTGAGGAGAAGAATCGTCTGCTTCGTGCTGTAGCCGGGGCAGGCCTGGACTCTTTATCCTCACTGAGAGCCAAGTGGGACAAACTGGAACTGG